TAACTTGATGGGGGTGTGTGATGGGTGTTTGTGATTGGTATATGTGATGGGTGTATGTGGTGGGTATGCGTGATGGGGTTGTGTGATGGGTATGTGTGATTGGGTTGTGTGATGGGTGTGTGTGTGTGTGATGGGTATGTGTGATGGGTATATGTGATGGGTGTATGTGGTGGGTATGTGTGACGGGGTTACGTGAATGGTGTGTGTGATGGGTGTATGTAATGGGGTATGTGATGGGTATGTGTGAAGGGTATGTCGGACGGGTATGTGTAATGGGTGTATGTGAAGGGTATGTGGGACGGGTGTGTGTAATGGGTGTGTGTGAAGGGTATGTGGGACGGGTGTGTGTAATGGGTGTATGTAGAGGATATGTGGGACGGGTGTGTGTAATGGGTGTGTGTGAAGGGTATTTGGGACTGGTATGTGGGACGGGTATGTGTAATGGGTGTATGTGATGGGTATGTGGAAGGGGTATGTGTAATGGGTGTGTGTGTTGGGTATGTGTTATTGGTGTGTGTGATGGGTGTATGTGATGGGTGTGTGTGATGGGTGTATGTGATGGGTGTATGTGATTTGTGTATGTGAATGGTTTGTGTGACAGGTATAGGTAGTGGTTGTATGTGATGGGTATGTGTGATGGGTATGTGTGATGGGTGTATGTGATGGGTATGTGTGTTGGGTATCTGTGATGGGTGTGTGTGATTGGTATGGGTGATGGGTATGTGTGTTGGGTATGTGTGATGGGTATGTGTGATTGGTATGGGTGATGGATATGTGTGATGGGTATGTGTGATGGGTATGTGTGATGGGTATGGGTGATGGGTATGGGTGATGGGTATGTGTGATGTGTATGTGTGATGGGTATGTGTGATCGGTATGTGTGATCGGTGTGTGTGATGGGTGTGTGATGGGTGTGTGTGATTGGTATGTTTGATGGGTGTGTGTGATGGGTGTGTGATGGGTGTGTGTGATTTGTGTGTGTGGGATGTGAAAGTGTTTGATTGGTATGTGTGATCGGTATGTGTGATGGGTATGTGTGATGGGTGTGTGTGATGGGTTCGTGGGTTGGGTATTTGTGATGGGTATGTGTGATGTGTGTGTGTGATGCGTGTGCGTGATTGGTGTGTGTGATGGGTATGTGTGATGGGTATGTGTGATGGGTATATGTGATGTGTGTGTGTGATGGGTATGTGTGATGGGTATGTGTGATGGGTATGTGTGATGGGTATTTGTGATGCGTGTGTTTGATGTGTGTTAGTGTGATGGGTGTGTGTGATGGGTATGTGTGATGAGTATATGTGATGGGTATGTGTGATGCGTGTGTGTGATGGGTATGTGTGATGGGCATGAGTGATTGGGATGGGTGATGGGTATGTGTAACGGGTATAAGTAGTGGGTGTATGTGATCGGTATGTTTGACGGGTATGGGTGGGGGGTATGTGTGACGGGTATGTGTGATGGGTTTGTGTGACAGGTATAGGTAGTGGTTGTATGTGATGGGTATGTGTGATGGGTATATGTGATGGGTGTATGTGGTGGGTATGTGTGATGGGGTTGTGTGATGGGTTTTTGTGATGGAGTTATGTGATGGGTGTGTGTGTGTGATTGGTGTGTGTGATGGGTGTATGTAATGCATGTATGTGAAGGGTATGTGTGACGGGGTTGTGTGATGGGGTAACTTGATGGGGGTGTGTGATGGGTGTTTGTGATTGGTATATGTGATGGGTGTATGTGGTGGGTATGCGTGATGGGGTTGTGTGATGGGTATGTGTGATTGGGTTGTGTGATGGGTGTGTGTGTGTGTGATGGGTATGTGTGATGGGTATATGTGATGGGTGTATGTGGTGGGTATGTGTGACGGGGTTACGTGAATGGTGTGTGTGATGGGTGTATGTAATGGGGTATGTGATGGGTATGTGTGAAGGGTATGTCGGACGGGTATGTGTAATGGGTGTATGTGAAGGGTATGTGGGACGGGTGTGTGTAATGGGTGTGTGTGAAGGGTATGTGGGACGGGTGTGTGTAATGGGTGTATGTAGAGGATATGTGGGACGGGTGTGTGTAATGGGTGTGTGTGAAGGGTATTTGGGACTGGTATGTGGGACGGGTATGTGTAATGGGTGTATGTGATGGGTATGTGGAAGGGGTATGTGTAATGGGTGTGTGTGTTGGGTATGTGTTATTGGTGTGTGTGATGGGTGTATGTGATGGGTGTGTGTGATGGGTGTATGTGATGGGTGTATGTGATTTGTGTATGTGAATGGTTTGTGTGACAGGTATAGGTAGTGGTTGTATGTGATGGGTATGTGTGATGGGTATGTGTGATGGGTGTATGTGATGGGTGTTTGTGACGGGTGTGTGTGATGTGTGTGTGTGATGGGTGTGTTTGTGACGGGTATAGGTGTTGGGAGTGTGTTACGGGTATTGTTGGTTGGTGTATGTGATGGGTATGTATGATGGGTATGTGTGACGGGTATGGGTGGTTGGTTTATGTGATGGGTGTGTGATGGGTATGGGTCATAGGTATGTGTGATGGGTATGTTCGATGGGTATATGCGATGGGTATGTGTGATGGGTATGTGTGATGGGTATGGATGATAGATATGTGTGATGTGTGTGTGTGTGATGGGTATGGATGATAGGTATGTGTGATGTGTGTGTGTGTGATGGGTATGGATGATAGGTATGTGTGATGTGTGTGTGTGATGGGTATAAGTGATTGATATGTGTGATGGCTATGTATGATGTGTATGGTTTATGTGTTTGTGAGATAGGTATGAGTGATTGGTGTGTATGCGGTATGTGTGATGGTTGTGGTTGATGTGTTTGTGAGATAGGTATGTGTGAAGGGTATGTGTGATGGGTATGTGTGATGGGTATGTGTGATGGGTATGTGTGATGGGTATGTGTGATTGGTATGTGTGATCTGGGTTTGTGATGTGTGTGTGTGTGTGATGTGTGTGTGTGTGTGTGTGATGTGTGTGTGTTATGGGTATGTGTGATGTGTGTTAGTGTGATGTGTGTGTGTGATGGGTATGTGTGACGGGTTAGTGTGATTTGTGTGTGTGACGGGTGTGTGTGACGGGTGTATGTGATGGGTATGTTTGATGGGTGTGTGTGATGTCGGTGTGGTGGGTGTGTGTAATGTGTGTGTGTGATGTGTGTGTGACGAGTATGTGTGATGGGTATGTGTTATGGGTATGTGTGATGGGTGTGTGTGATGTGGGTGTGATGGGTGTGTGTATGATGGGTATGTGTGATGGGTATGTGTGATGGGTGTATGTGGTGTGTGTGTGTGTGATAGGTATGTGTGATAGGTATGTGTGATGGTTGTGAGTGATGGATAAACAAACAAAATTACACAATTTTTCAACATTACGAAATGCCACGCCTGTCCGAAAATGAGCGTCTGCGAGCCATTGGTATGCTTGAAGCAGGATCGAGTCAACGTGATATGCCAATAATCGACAAGACAACTGGATTCGAACAACACACCTACGAAATCGATTCCAGCCAGCAACAGTGACTGCATGAAGCATCCATGGCCTTCGATGAATATCTTCACAAACCGAACGTCGTCGCCTCAGATGTGCAGGGATTGTCGCCAGAAGACCCGCCAGACGTCCCATTTTGACAGGAAACCACCACCAAGCACGTCTACAGTGGTGCAGACAACATCTACGCTGGACGGCCATGCAGTGGGGACAAATTCTATTCACTTACGAGTCTCGTTTTCACCTCAGCCACAGCGATGGACGGATTCGAGTGTACCGACGTCGAGGCGAACGTTACGTCATTCATTTTGTCATGGAAGAAGATCGGTTCGGGGGCGGCAGCGTTATGGTATGGGGTGGGATCACAACAAGACAGAGGACACATTTGATAGTGGTAGAGGGAATTCTCAGTGGACAGCGCTACCGCGATGGGATCATCGGCCCTGTTGTTCTACCGTTTCTGCGTCGTCATGGCCCAGGCATTACCTTTCAACATGACAACGCCCGACCTCATGTTGCTCGACTTGTTCAGGATTCAACAAAACAACGTGAATGTCATCCCCTGGCCGGCTCGCTCCCCTGATCTCTCACCAATCGAGCACATGTGGGATGTGATGGATCGGCGCCTTCGACGTCAACCACGTGTTCCACAGACACTCCATGAACTTCGAAACATGCTCACGCAGATATGGATAGGTATCCCGCAGGACTTTATGCGGAGCCTTGTCCATTCCATGAGACGAAGATATGTTGCTTGCATCGCAACCAGCGGTGTTCATGATTTGTTATATGAAATCACGCATTTTCTGAAGTCAGTATTGCAAATTAAACCATGTGAACACTAACAGGAGTCTTTTAGCTGTTGCAAACCGAAATTGTTTCCGATTTAGTAAAAAACATAACTTTGCATTAAATATTATTCAATGTCACAGGAACTTTTGTTGTTCAGTTTATATGTACAACAATGTTCACGAATAGCTAGGTAGGGGAAACCTTCTTCCACAACAGATGTGTTCACTTGCAGATGTAGGCGGGATTTTCAGAAGCGAATTTTCGCCCATTACGTAATCGTATGTACAGCATCTTATTCAATGTCACAGGAACCTTTGTTCTTCAGTGAACTAATTGCCGGTGTTCATTAAGAAAAGTTGCAAAATAGTTGCAAATGTCGGCAATTACTTATTTATAAAATACCGCCGTGAGAAATAACATTTGCGTTTTGTATGTTTGATTAATGACCTCAGTGCTCTCTTTTGTCTGACTGTGAACACATGATGAAGTGTGTGTAGTGCAGGAGTGTCACATTATATGCCTGCATTAGTCACGTTTATAACATTTCATAGCTGGCGTATTGTTTTATCAGTCGTTGCGTAAATGCACAAATGCTGACGCAATTCTTATCAAGCTATGTCTATGACCTATATGACGGTATGTGCAAACTAACATAAACTGCAGACAGTGTCAAAGTCCATACACAAATAGATCAATACACCAGTCACAGTGTGACATGTGCAGCATGTCTTCACCAACCTCAACCAGTATAACACCGAACAAGGCCAGAGGACCATCTCCACAACACTTCAGCCCAAACCCAAACCGACCAGAATTCGCCTCCTACTGAACCATCCTATCCGATATTGGCAAGATTTCACATCAAATCAGCAGAGTACGTAAACACCAAGCATGTACCGATATTATCTCCACTGGCTCCCATTCCCTCAGGACCATCCTCCACGCTAACGGCCCTCACCCTCCCTAAACAGGCAGTTCCCTGAAGGAGTCATCACTAAGATTAATTGTGACTGCGGTGACATTGTGAAACCTCCCGCCCAGTAGATATCAGCATCACAGAACATATACGTTCAATAGTCAAAGCAGACTAGCAGCAAAAGTTCCCTAGATCCAGTTCAGTTTGGCAAAATCCAAATCCTCTCTACCAAACATCAGAAAGAAACGTCGCTCCATGTTAAAAGAACACCAAATGTTGTACATGTTATCCATAAAGTTGTATGTCTTCTCTGTTCTTATAAATACATGATATAAAATATGTTCAAAATGATGTGCCTTGCCTATAGCAGTTGCATCAATAGTTATGCACCATTTAGGAAACGTACAAACAAAAGTCCTTTTTTCTCTGTGCGTCCATTCACCGTCATCTTTCTGATATAACATAATCCAGGAGACAGTATTTAATCTACCAGGTGTAGAGTCCCAGAGTGGCCGACTGACGTCTCAGGTTTGCAACGAAGGTATTGCAGCCCCTGCAGTGAATGCATATGCTATCTGCAACTTGACAACCAGGGCATCTGTGAACCCGATTCGGCAAACCCCGGTACCTTCCCTATGGTCACGTGGACTCGACCTCGCTATCGGAGTGTATATACAGGTTGCCAGTCAGTGTCTGGCTCTACTCGGTCAGCTAAGGTTTATCATGTTGCTGTTGGTCGTAGCTCTCATCGTTCCTGCCCTGGGGGCCCGCCCAGGATTCACAGACACCGGCACTCTAGAGTGGAGGGACTGTGGTATGTATATTGATCGAGTGAATTAATATTTAATGTCGCAAAGTTAGCAATATAGCGAAGAGAGAACACATTGAACATGCACGGAGGTTCGTTTCGCCTCAGATCAGGTCATAGCTAAGTTAGCACTATATCACCAAAGTCGTAAACGTGCACACTTTCGTACTGTTCTCACACATCAAACTGACACGCTGTGATACAGCTGAAATACTGTTCAAAGTGGCGTTGAAAAACAGCACACGTCACCACTGGGATTGTTCCCAACCAGTGATAAAGATCCCAGTGATTAAAGGATATTTATTTACAATCTTGGACTGCATCATTGACTCTAACAAACAAGTGCTTTTATTACAAAATGTTTAAATCAGAAATAATTATGGAAGATTATTTATCAAAAGTTAATGTTAAAAATTTTCGAACGGCTCTTTCACGTTTTAGATGTTCTTCTCACGACCTTTTAATAGAAACAGGGCGCTATGTAAACATTCCTCGTGAAGATAGAATCTGTAATCTATGTAGTTTAAACTCAGTAGAAGATGAATTTCATTTCTTACTTGTATGTCCAGTGTATTTACACCTTAGAGAAAAATACCTGCAAGCTTATTATTACAGGTACCCTAATATTATTAAATGTGTTACACTGCTGTCAAACACAAAAAGAAGTATCTTACAAAATGTTTCCATGTACATATGTTATGTCTCTTTATACCGACAGAACCTTATGAAAGAATAATCTTAGCTGCTTGGTATTAGGAAACTATTGTGTACATACATTAAGTACATATTTATAGATATTTGTCATCTGAATAAACTACAAACAAAAGAGTTAGAAATGGTATTAAACTATTAGGCTGTCATATGCGGGACGTGATATTACAAATGGTTTAGTATAGTTATATGTATATGAAATGATATGATGTGACATGACATGATGTGATATGATATGATAAGTGTTGTGGTGTGATATGATACATGAGGGGATATGATGCAATATGTTATGTGTTTTATAGAAATTGTGTAAATACTGTTTTTTAGTGTACATATTATATGGCTTGCGGTCTTCCAGTGTTGAATAAATATTGATTGATTGATATGATTTAAATTGGCATGGAATGACATGGCATTATATGGTATGATATGATAAGATATGATGGGACAAGCTATGAAATTGCTAATGTGTTGTGTGATATGACATGTTGAAATGTGATATAATATAGGTGTGATATATGGTACGATGGTATGTATGGTATGTTATGATATGATAATGGTATATGAAATAATACTATATAGTATGATATTATAATAATGATACAATATGAAATGATGTTATAGAATATGTTGTATGATATAACAAGTTGTGATATGGTAAAATAGAAATTATGAAATTACAGGGTATGGTATTGTACTGTATGTGTGAAATTATGTGACTGCGTTGAGATGCGATGTGGAATGACGTGAGGTGATTTGGTGAGATATGTACATAAATTGTATGAAATTGTATAAGTCTTCAAATTGTACTATAGGCCTGTGGCCTCTTCAGTACGTGAAATAAAGATTGATTGAGATTGATAAAGACCCCATAACGGAACATATGTATAAACCCCCTAATATGATTGTGTTGGCACACATATCAGCTGATAACGATACAATTCACGCGACCAAGTGACAACAACTGTATGATATTAAAGTCCGAATCAGTTAAAAATATCCAGATGAAAGATAACGTTTGTATAATCATACTTCCACACAAATGGACATGTCTGAGTCAATCTGAGTCTGTATGCTGCAATGCATGCCTCGATATTTTATGTGGACATGTCTGAGTCTATGTTATTTGTTCAATTTTACATGGAGTTGCCTGTACACCTTACTTTCATGGACCACTTTGTGAACCAAGCCACGTGTATGTAATTTGTATCTTCTTGTCAGGTGTTGGCAGCTCCTGGGTTTCCGTGAATAAGTTCGACATCACGCCCAGCCCCATCAAGCTTCCCGGAGATATGACCGTGACCCTTGAGGGAGCAATCAATCACAATCTCGCTGACCAGGTCACACTGGATGTTATCATGGAGAAGAGCCTGCTCGGGATTTTCACCAATGTTACCTGCGTTAACGATGTTGGCACATGGTAAGTGTTGAGTAAGGTTGATGTTAGTACGTTGAGAGATTGAATCAAGAGATTCAACACTGTTTTGAAAAGTGTTTCAGACAAAAACATGGTGCGCCCAGCACATTCCGGAGCCTAAGGAGACTGTGGAACGTTTGTGTTTGGAATTGGCAGGGCGAATAGATAGCAACAGTGTAACATAGGTAATTAATTACATGCTACGTAATGAGTCCCACAGTCGTCGTCTAGATGTGACAACACCATGTATTGTCGAGCTGAACTGTTTTCAAAATACATGCCAAGGTAGGACGCATATACCACACTCCCAACGCTAGGAGATAACTTGGTATATGATCAACACTCCCGACATCAACATGGTATCGACTGATGTGAAAAGAGCCAGAATCGGCTCGTTTATCCACCCGAGGGGAACTCGACAAGTGACGCTGCACAGAGACAGTGAGTACTCGCCATTCGTGTCCGGGACTGATGTTCATTTCAGACTGCTCATTTGCACTATTGCATTTGCTGTACACCTCTCTGCATCCTTCGCCCTACTCAACCATTTCGAGAAAATAAACTTTGATCGGTTTTTCCCAAAGAAAATAGCTCTTTCTGTGTATCATGTGACGTCACTGCGATGGGCGATGACCCAGTTTTGACAAATTACCACGCTTGGCTTGCACGTGAAAGGTGTCCTGGGTGTCCTGGGGTGTCCCGGGGAATTATCACACACATCATGTTTTGTTCAAACGACGTTTAAACAAACCCGGGACCCATCTCCCAAGAAGAAGTAAGAAATGTTATCTTGTCGGAGCTTCCCGACGTCAAGTCGGAATTAAGTTCACAAATTACAGCTGTAAAACTGCAGTGAACGCAGTTTGCTCTTAATATGGTCAACTTGTGGTGACAGTAACACTAAACAAATCTGATATATTTACGACTTGAAACATTATCATGACATTATGTATACTGACATTGATGCTGTTCTTGATAAAATTGAAACTGTTGTAGAACGTCCACCTAAGATTGATGACGATATGGACAAACTGGAATTATTTAGCATACGTGCTAATATCATTCTCCATGGTGTACCAGAAGCAGAAAGCGAGAAATCGATGGCTTGCAAGGAGAAATGTGGCCATCATCTGACATTATCCGTGGCCATTATCTGACATTATCAGACGACAAAGTTCGAGCCCTAAAAGATAGATCCCGTGCTGAAGGAAAACGGGCTGGGAATTTCAAGTGACTTGACCACACGTCAACGTCAACAAGTCAATGCACTTAAAGACACCGGCTATTTTGGTTACTTTAAGAACGGTAAGCTTGTGACAAAACCTCGAGAAAGTTCGGATAGTACCCCCCGTAGAAGAGAACACAAGAAACACCCCAACACAAGCGAGGCAGGATCACTGAACCTGTAACTGATACATTGTCGAATAGGCAACTTCCATAGGACGATGGCCGATGCCCGGATAATATATCACATGGATGTAATAGATCAGACACCGGTGATACGATCGATTTTATGAGCGCTACTGTGTGTGAAGATAAGAAAGTAACTTTCTTGTGTTGGAACGTAAATGGATTGAGCCCCCAAAAAGATGACTGCGACTTCATCTCTTACCTAAGCAAATTCCAAATAGTGTGTCTTGTAGAAACATTTGAATGATATGTCGGACATTAATTGGTTATGATGACTTCTACAGCCCCGCAATTTTAATTATCTGAGCATGGTCGACTCTCAGGTGGCGTGTGCATATGTATCCAAGTTTTACAGGTTTATAACATCAGATATTGATCGTTTTATATGCATTAACGAAGCAAAACAATTGGGCTCTGTTGACAAATATATAAATTTGACATGCCATATTATAACGATAGTGACTCTAAATGTAACATGGAACTGCTTGATCAGTTCTTATTAAGACCTTTCAGAAATAAGTGATTATTTCACAGCACTGACTAGCATGAGGTTAACGGAATTTCCAGCACTGACCAGTCTGAGGTGAACGTTGTTTTCAGCACTGACTAACAAAAGTGAACGTAGTTTCCAGAACTGACTACTCTGAAGTGAACGTCGTTTTAAGCACTGACTAACATGAGGTGAACAGAGTTTCCAGCACTGACTGACATGAGGTGAACGGAGTTTCCAGAACTGACTGACATGAGGTGAACGGAGTTTCCGACATTGACTGACATGAGGTGAACGGAGTTTTAAGCACTGACTAACATGAGGTGAAAAGAGTTTCCAGCACTGACTGACATGAGGTGAACGGAGTTTCCAACATTGACAAATATGAGGTGAACGGAGCTTTCAGCACTGACTAACATCATGTGAACAGAGTTTCAAGCACTGACTAACATGAGGTTAACGGAGTTTCAAGCACTGACTAACATGAGGTGAACGGAGTTTCAAGCACTGACTGACTTGAGGTGAACAGAGTTTCCAACACTGACTAGCATGAGGTGAACGGAATTTCCAGCACTGACCAGTCTGAGGTGAACGGAGTTTCCAGCACTGACTGACATGAGGTGAACGGAGTTTCAAGCACTGACTAGCATTAGGTTAACGGAATTTCCAGCACTGACCAGTCTGAGGTGAATGGAGTTTCCAGCACTGACTGACATGAGGTGAACGGAGTTTCCAGCACTGACTGACATGAGGTGAACAGTGTTTCCAGAACTGACTGCTCTGAGGTGAACGGAGTTTCAAGCACTGTCTAACATGAGGTGAACAGAGTTTCCAGCACTGACTGACATGAGGTGTACGGAGTTTCCAGCACTGACTGACATGAGGTGAACGGAGTTTCAAGCACTGACTGACATGAGGTGAACGGAATTTTCAGCACTGACTGACATGAGGTGAACAGAGTTTCCAGCACTGACTAACATGAGGTGTACGGAGTTTCCAGCACTGACTGACATGAGGTGAACGGAGTTTCCAGCACTGTGTAACATGAGGTGAACGGAGTTTCCAGCAATGACTAACATGAGGTGAACGGAGTTTTCAGCACTGACTGACATGAGGTGAACAGTGTTTCCAGAACTGACTGCTCTGAGGTGAACGGAGTTTCAAGCACTGTCTAACATGAGGTGAACAGAGTTTCCAGCACTGACTGACATGAGGTGAACGGAGTTTCTAGAACTGACTACTCTGAGGTGAACGGAGTTTCAAGCACTGTCTAACATGCGGTGAACGGAGTTTCAAGCACTGACTGACATGAGGTGAACAGAGTTTCCAGAACTGACTGACATGAGGTGAACGGAGTTTCCACCACTGACTGACGTTAGGTAAACGGAGTATCAAGCACTGACTAACATGAGGTGAACGGAGTTTCAAGCACTGACTGAGATGAGGTGAACGGAGTTTCCAGCACTGACTGACATGAGGTGAACGGAGTTTCAAGCACTGAAAAACATGAGGTGAACAGTTTCCAGAACTGACTACTCTGAGGTAAACGGAGTTTCAAGCACTGTCTAACATGAGGGGAACGGAGTTTTCAGCACTGACTAACATGAGGTGAACGGAGTTTCAAGCACTGACTAACATGAGGTGAACAGAGTTTCCAGCACTGACTGACATGAGGTGAACGGAGTTTCCAACATTGACTGACATGAGGTGAACAGAGTTTCAATCACTGACTAACATGAGGTGAACGGAGTTTCCAGCACTGACTGACATGAGGTGAACAGAGTTTCCAGAACTGACTGACATGAGGTGAACGGAGTTTCAAGCAATGACTGACATGAGGTGAACGGAGTTTCCAGCACTGACTGACATGAGGTGAACGGAGTTTCCAGCACTGACTGACATGAGGTGAACGGAGTTTCAAGCACTGACTAACATGAGGTGAACAGAGTTTCCAGAACTGACTACTCTGAGGTGAACGGAGTTTCAAGCACTGTCTAACATGAGGTGAACAGAGTTTCCAGCACTGACTGACATGAGGTGTACGGAGTTTCAAGCACTGACTGACAAGAGGTGAACGGAGTTTCCAGCACTGACTGACATGAGGTGAACGGAGTTTCAAGCACTGACTAACATGAGGTGAACGGAGTTTCAAACACTGACTGACATTAGGTAAACGGAGTTTCAAGCACTGACTAACATGAGGTGAACGGAATTTCAAGCACTGACTGACAAGAGGTGAACGGAGTTTCCAGCACTGACTGACATGAGGTGAACGGAATTTCAAGCACTGACTGACAAGAGGTGAACGGAGTTTCCAGCACTGACTGACATGAGGTGAACGGAGTTTTCAGCACTGACTAACATGAGGTGAACGGAGTTTCAAGCACTGACTAACATGAGGTGAACAGAGTTTCCAGCACTGACTAACATGAGGTGAACGGAGTTTCCAACATTGACTGACATGAGGTGAACAGAGTTTCAATCACTGACTAACATGAGGTGAACGGAGTTTCCAGCACTGACTGACATGAGGTGAACAGAGTTTCCAGAACTGACTGACATGAGGTGAACGGAGTTTCAAGCAATGACTGACATGAGGTGAACGGAGTTTCAAGCACTGACTGACATGAGGTGAACGGAGTTTCCAGCACTGACTGACATGAGGTGAACAGAGTTTTCAGCACTGACTGACATGAGATGAACGGAGTTTCAAGCACTGACTAACATGAGGTGAACAGAGTTTCCAGAACTGACTACTCTGAGGTGAACGGAGTTTCAAGCACTGTCTAACATGAGGTGAACGGAGTTTGCAGCACTGACTGACATGAGGTGAACAGAGTTTGCAGCACTGACTGACATGAGGTGAACGGAGTTTGCAGCACTGACTGACATGAGGTGAACAGAGTTTGCAGCACTGACTGACATGAGGTGAACGGAGTTTCCAGCACTGACTAACATGAGGTGAACGGAGTTTCCAACATTGACTGACATGAGGTGAACAGAGTTTGCAGCACTGACTGACATGAGGTGAACAGAGTTTCCAGCACTGTCTAACATGAGGTGAACAGAGTTTCCAGCACTGACTGACATGAGGTGTACGGAGTTTCAAGCACTGACTGACAAGAGGTGAACGGAGTTTCCAGCACTGACTGACATGAGGTGAACGGAGTTTCAAGCACTGACTAACATGAGGTGAACGGAGTTTCAAACACTGACTGACATTAGGTAAACGGAGTTTCAAGCACTGACTAACATGAGGTGAACGGAGTTTCAAGCACTGACTGACATGAGGTGAACGGAATTTCAAGCACTGACTGACAAGAGGTGAACGGAGTTTCCAGCACTGACTGACATGAGGTGAACGGAGTTTTCAGCACTGACTAACATGAGGTGAACGGAGTTTCAAGCACTGACTAACATGAGGTGAACAGAGTTTCCAGCACTGACTAACATGAGGTGAACGGAGTTTCCAACATTGACTGACATGAGGTGAACAGAGTTTCAATCACTGACTAACATGAGGTGAACGGAGTTTCCAGCACTGACTGACATGAGGTGAACAGAGTTTCCAGAACTGACTGACATGAGGTGAACGGAGTTTCAAGCAATGACTGACATGAGGTGAACGGAGTTTCAAGCACTGACTGACATGAGGTGAACGGAGTTTTCAGCACTGACTGACATGAGATGAACGGAGTTTCAAGCACTGACTAACATGAGGTGAACAGAGTTTCCAGAACTGACTACTCTGAGGTGAACGGAGTTTCAAGCACTGTCTAACATGAGGTGAACGGAGTTTGCAGCACTGACTGACATGAGGTGAACAGAGTTTGCAGCACTGACTGACATGAGGTGAACGGAGTTTCCAGCACTGACTAACATGAGGTGAACGGAGTTTCCAACATTGACTGACATGAGGTGAACAGAGTTTGCAGCACTGACTGACATGAGGTGAACAGAGTTTCCAGCACTGACTGACATGAGGTGAACAGAGTTTCCAGCACTGACTGACATGAGGTGAACGGAGTTTCAAGCACTGACTGACATGAGGTGAACAGTGTTTGCAGCACTGACCAACATGAGGTGAACAGAGTTTCCAGCACTGACTAACATGAGGTGAACGGAGTTTCCAACATTGACTGACATGAGGTGAACAGAGTTTGCAGCACTGACTGACATGAGGTGAACGGAGTTTCCAACATAGACAAATATGAGGTGAACAGAGATTCCAGCACTGACAAACACGAGGTGAACAGAGTTTCCAGCACTGACTGACATGAGGTGAACGGAGTTTCCAGCACTGACTGACATGAGGTGAACGGAGTTTCGAACATAGACAAATATGAGGTGAACAGAGATTCCAGCACTGACAAACACGAGGTGAACAGAGTTTCCAGCACTGACTGACATGAGGTGAACGGGGTTTCCAGCACTGACTGACATGAGGTGAACGGAGTTTCCAACATAGACAAATATGAGGTGAACAGAGATTCCAGCACTGACAAACACGAGGTGAACAGAGTTTCCAGCACTGACTGACATGAGGTGAACGGAGTTTCCAGCACTGACTGAATGAGGTGAACGGAGTTTCAAGCACTGACTGACATGAGGTGAACGGAGTTTCCAGCACTGACTGACATGAGGTGAACGGAGTTTCAAGCACTGACTGACATGAGGTGAACGGAGTTTCCAGCACTGACTAACATGAGGTGAACGGAGTTTCCAGCACTGACTGACATGAGGTGAACGGAGTTTCCAGCACTGACTAACATGAGGTGAATGGAGTTTTCAGCACTGACCAACATGAGGTGAACGGAGTTTTCAGCACTGACCAACAATCATTGAAGTGTTCCACAGAGTGTCTATATTCTTATTATGATATGTTGCACGTGATCTCCAAACTTTAGACGCTATGAGAGTACACAGCAATAAAGAATAATAACATTCCTACTTTCAACACTAAGTGGCAAGAACTGATGAAGGGATTTTAATGTTTGAGTACACATCTGGTATAAAACAACACCCCATCATGCTGTAACATGAAAATATATTGTTATCGATCATATTATATCCTGGCAACAATGTATAGTATCACAGGTCATGTTTTTTTCTGTAATGAATACCAAAAGTGAAGAAATACAAGCTTATCCTGCAAGAGACAAATGGTGCATGTCGACTCGTGGATCTGTGACGTCACAAGTGATGCGTTCATGACCGTCGGTTCACACATCATACCAATATGTCCGTTTGTGCATCGAACTATCTAATATATCACGAATATAAACATTCCTTATATATTAACCAAAATGTAAGTTATTCGCGTTTCTTTTGTCGATGAGTATATATTGGTTTGCCCACAGCCACTACACCGACCCCTGCCACTTCCTGAACACCTTCAAAAGTCGGGGCACCTGTCCGCCCCAGCTGGTTGCCAACGGCCTCCCCTGCACCTGCCCCTTCAGCCCCGACAAGCTCATCCTGCCCCCGTCCAAGTTCACCGTCACCAACATCAGTGATGCCTGGAAAATCTTGGCTGACGTAAGTAAATACTTTCAACCAAATGATGACTAATTTTAACCAATACAAAGGATCAGTTGCACAGGTGAGAAAAGACACATCTTTTCTTGTCTGTCTGTCTGTGATAAGGGATTGTCGAATCTTGGAAAGACCATTTTGAAATAATATTTGACAATGTGTGCTTGTCAGGGTGTTCTTCTCGTTCAGAGCCAAAGACTGACTACAGTTAAACAAAGCGAATTACCGTTTGATGACGTTTAGTGATCATTATGACCGCTTGGGCATGTATTTGATATATTCCTGTGTTCAATATTTTTTCCAGGGGGAGTACCACGTAAAACTCACCCTGAATGACAAGACCACTCAACAACTTCGTGGTTGTGTTGAGACGTACATCGTAATCGCAGTGTGATACCAAGTCAAATACATATACATGTTTATTTGATGATAGAAAATAAACACAATAAATAATATACATGTTTGTAATAAGATGTGTTTCTGTCTGTCTCTGCAAATTTCAAAAGGAAGAGAATTTATGGATGTCAACTTCTTTATTATGAGGTACACAAGGGTTCGGAGTATTTATTACCCACGTGTTGAAGATACAGGTGGTAAGATACAAAATCCGTTCGTCACACGTGTGTCGTACAAGGTTGACCTTGTTTTATTTGTTTTGATTGGATAACCGTCAACTCTGTCACACCGGGACTACTTTTTTCATTCATAAAAAATCGCGAGACGTCATTCATTTTGCAACAAGGCAGAACTGAAGCAATCTCATGTGAGCGAGGGATATTAACAAAAACTTTATTAAACCAAACAAGATTTAACGTAGAAAGGATAAGCGTGGTGAAATGAAGTCAGTTTAAATTATCTTGACAGATATCCAGACTTACTTGTAATGATCCGGTTGTGCCATCAAGTCCTCTTCGAAGCCTATTTTGTGGTACTGTTTTGGGAGTTGTTTGTTCACGACTGCACGACCAGATCACTCAAGGTGAACATTTCCGATACAAATCATTCGAATACTCCGTAGAAGTGTGCCTGATTCTGATTATGTCGCCCCAAATATCTGAAAGGTGAACAATAACATTCCCTATCTCTCGCGTAAAACGCTGAGTAGATCACGGTTGTCTTTTCTTATTCCGGTGGTGACCTTGCCCTTCGTTCGAAGCTGTCACTGACATGCAAGCAGACTTGAGCGTGTTGATTTTCACGTCTTCAGTAAAGGGTGGTACAGTCATGCATGGTTTTGGCGAACACTCTGATGTCCCTCTTCAAAAATGGTACGGACATGATATAAATTCAGCTGATAGATCAAGGAAACCGCACCATTTTGAATGCACAGACGGGATCCCGGCAGTGCGAGTGACCAGCTGTTGGTCCGATATTCAAAGCGCGGCGCTTATGTGACTTTTCAAATGATCTTATAGGTGTTCTGCGTACTAACAACATGGCGCTTAAATTCTCATAAGTTGAAGAAATTCTTCCAAAAGGATCTTGAACGTCGGTGCTGTTTGAAAATACATCTGCAGGCGCATGTTGTTAATACGTATGCATAGGAATGTAAGCAATGCCCATATTTGGGCATATGTCAATATTCATGCGCAACCAGATTTTGCAACCGGTTTCAGTTTGGTCTGTCAACGAACAAAAGTTGTTATGTATTTACACTTACATACATATTTAACGTGGGTAATAAATAAAATACCACACGCATTCTCATTAGATACCATTTTTACGAAACTCGTGAACTTTCTATCTTATCTGACCTCGCTTTCGCTCGGTCAGATACCATAGAAAGTCCACTCGTTTCGTAAAAATGGTGTCTAACGAGAATGAGTGTCGTATTCTCTATCTATTCACTCCTTTATCGCGTGAATAAATGCGATGAGGTAGAAAACATTATATATAAAGTAATAAGATTACGAAGGTGGAAACTCAACAAGGGAAGCCAACAGATATTCGGTGCTGATAGGTGATGGACAAATGGAAGCCAATACTTTACTTATCACTGATCGGTAACAGGCAATGGACAATGGGCAAGCGGGAGTCTTGGAGTAATTAGCGCTGATGGGAAATAGAATTGAAATCACAATGGACAAATGGAAGACAGCTGGATAATAAGTACCGACAATGATCAACGCAATAAATCCCAAGCACGGGGTAGATAATCACCTATCAGCGCCAATTATCTTTTGGCTTCCCTTAAGTTTCCACAATATGATAGAAGCGATGTAAACAACTTTTGACCAGAGAATTCGAAATAAAATAAATCTGGATTTGGCAACTGAAAGCCAATAACAATTTGCTTATATGTTGTCCACATTATTACATAGTGACACAAATATAATTTCATTCTAGATTCTACAAACAAAGTTATCAACTTAAAGTATATTGGCAGTGTTTGTTTATGGGTATATGCATGTTGTGAATAGTGGAATTACACATCAGGAGAAGTCTTAACACTTAACACTTAACACTTAACACTTAACACTTAACATCACAATCCCAAACATTCCCCTCATCTTCAGCACCAATTCAATTAGGAGATTAGGAGATTCCTGGGACGAGGTTTCTTTACGGGTGATATACATACCTCTATCATTCAATTTTTCTTCAATGGGTTCAGCAATCGTTGCATCAGTTTCCTGCGTCTGAACTCTCATCACATTTTGAAACATCCTGCACAGCGCCATGGTAGTCCCATCCGTGGTAATGGAACAAACTTCGAATGGATTCTTGGTGCATTGGATCAACATTCACTGGAATAATAAACTTGGATAAAATATTGAAAGTGTTGAAAAATATGAGCAGTGAACAAACATAAAAACGACCTGACAAAATTTCCTTATTTTAGATACCCATTAGAAATCGTTAGAATTTGCAAGAGCTCATTATATGAAAAACATATTTTTCCATATTGACAAACAAGCAATCTTAATAATCTATTCAGTTGCAGGTATGGTCTGTGTGATCAATAATAACTACTACAACTCTATCTGTAAATTACTGCAGCTGCAACGCCGTGTTCCTCGATTGAACATAGGTACCTTTGGATAATGAAGTTATATAAAACGGTAAATTGTTACAAGTACAGTAGTATGCATAACGATGCACCACATGTTTTTTAGATCGAGACACGTTGGTTACTATTAATAGCAGGATCGGCCAATTTTCCCTTATATGTGACACATTTACTGCGCAAACTGTCATATCACAAAATCTCTTGATAGATCAAATCTGTTATGCGTGTCAACACCCAAGGAAGGTAACTCTTAATCTCGCTTATTCTAATAGTCCGGTCATTACAGCACTTGACTCTCACACATTTCGTCTCTCACACATTTCATTACATCAAGACCAGCTTTCGTGTGAAGATCACGTATCACCCCGCATTCCCTGCCTAGGACCAACTCGGAAGCTTGACCACTGTCGCCGCTGGGTGGATATATTATCATCACTGACGTTTGCTATCACCACTGTAATTTTGTATTTGATACTGGCCACTGCCATCATATTATATATTGCTTTTGAATGTTGGACAATTGCTCAATTGTATTCTGCCATTGTTATTGTTGTGCAGTAAATTGTGTTGATTTGTTAACCTAGTTAATGTTGTAATGCATTGTTGATTATATGTCATTTGTTGTTTATTTGTTGGTTTCGCAAAAAATATTTTACATTGAGATTACTTAGTTTACTAATTCTTTCAATCTGGGAATCGACACATAACAAGACAAATAAACACAGACACACACATAAAAATACAGACACACGCACACACATATATACACACATAATTAACACAAAATAAAAAAAGCGACAAAACCCTTTCCATATCCAATTGAAATATTTGCGAGTCGATTGTACGATTCCGACAATATCATGAGCACGTGTTAATGAATCACTTTCAAATAGTGATTATACCAGGTGTTTGCGAAAAGGTGGGCGTTTCCTGCCCCTCAGGCGACACCGGTCACAAACACATGCACAGGGAAGTCAATTGTTCACCTGAAGAAACACATGTCTACCATAACACTTTATGGAAGCTTTACTGAGGCCTTGAAGGTTATAAACCTAATCAAACAACTTCTGAGCAAGAGTTGTATGACGCTCTTTAAAATCTGGGTAGAAATGGCATGCGCGATAGTATCTCAAAAGTGAAACGTAAACACCAAAGGCTGAAGCTGCTGGAGTTGCTCGACATGAAGTGAGAGTTGACTATTGGAAAGTTGAAGTCATCCCTCTTGTCACTCTGACACCCTCATACATAGATCTAAATGTGAAACAGATGAGACGGTGTCACTGGTCTCCTTTATTTCTAGTCCATGTGGGTAAGCCATTTGATGGGAATTGGCTATTTGATTGTTATTGAACGAAATCGATATACCGGATGCTTAAGTTAAACTTCTTGGCCAACTTACCTTACAAGAAGGGGTGCACAATTGGTGCCCATGGAGATGCCCACTTCTTGCCTAAATGTCTTAGAACCTCTGAATACGTGTCTGCATCTGTGTTCACCACGTTTTGTAATAAAAACCTCGTCAAGGAATGAAGAAACCAATAAAAATAAGAACTATTAACTTTTGGCTTGACTCGAAAAGCTATTATGTACTTAATTCAAAAGCTCCCTTTAAATGAGTACAAAGAGATACATATTGCCGTGAAGATTCCGGGTTAGAATTGGTCTTCAGCAACTCATGGTTGTCGTAAGGGGACTAAAGGGATCGGGTGGTCAGACTCGCAATTGGTTGATGCATGTTATCGATCATAATTGCGTGAATCGATGCTCATGTTGTCAATCACTGGATTGTCTCGTCCAGACTTAATTACTTACAGATCGCCGTCATATAGCTGGAATATTGTTGAGTGCAGCGTTAAACAACAAACAAACGAAGAAACAATTACATACGTGTGTGCTGATGTGCTACTATTTGCAGAGTTTAAACTACTTTTGTTTACACAAACGAGTCTGACAAACACTCTCCAGTCTCCAAAAGGACACAGAACCTTATAACAGATAAACCTGATCACATCACTAACGTCATACATCCAAATCAAACAAGTCAGAAAAACAACTTAAGCATACGCTAATATCAACTGAGACCTTAACTGTTACGAATACCAGATGGTAAGGATAAATAGCTCAGTTGACGTAATCGTGCACGTGATTCCTGAGGTTGCTGTCGATGGTTCAGACTAGAATGTTAGTAGTTGAAAAAAGCCCAGGGTGCCGTTGTACAAAACAACCTTTACTGAGGTTGAACTTAGTTACGAAGGTTAATCTAAAAGTAACCTTAACAAAAAGTTACGCCCGTTGCACAAAACTACCTTTGGACAACCTTAATGTCGACAAGATACTTAGCGGTAACCTTAACTAAGGTTGAACTCTTTAGTGTGAGTGACTCAATTATGTCCGTAGTTACAGTTGAGAGTTATCTCCCCTGCTCGCATCTGCAGACGACTAATA